CACATGAGGCCCGAGCAGGAACGTGGAACTATTATTTTCATCCCTGCGCTCATTTGTTTCTGGCTTCTCACTGTTCTGTTAAAGCCATTTGCTGCGAGAAAAGCAATTCAACTATTTCATGCATGATTACGACGGCAGATATCTGTGGAATTCCACTCCGCGTCGACACACACATACACGCTGCTGCTGGTGATGCGTGCTTTTCCCGAGAGGTCATTATGGCCCTGTGGATGTCCCAGGCCGTTAGACTCGTGTCTGTCCTGAACGGCTATCAGACGGCTCTTTCATCCCCGCCACGCTAGTCTGGCTTTTCCTCCCGAGAGCAGCTCAGACTCTGTGTTCTGTATGTGTGCGAGCGAGCAGAGCCATCGGCTGAAATCGATACGGTGTTATCCCGTTCGGTCTGCACTCACACCCCCGGTAATGGAAACTTCAGATGCCTGTGTGCTCGAAGAGCCAGTACGTCAGAAAAACGGGTGCTTCGTGAATGCACGCTTTCGACTGTCGCCCATCGAAAAGCCGTTCCGAGTCAGAGCTGCTTCTCCGGTGTCATTTCTCTCAAGCTGTAACGCAGGCATGAATGTTTATATCAGAACCACGAGTATGATGAAACTGCGGGTTTAAATACGCTCGTGTTTATGATGACCCTTTTCAGCACTAATCATTACACTAAGGAGAGGTTCGTATGTGTGTGTCTCCGTGCCCAACAGGGCCCCGCGGTGTTGGTTTGACCGAGTTGAAAAGGAAACTTCTGCTCTCGGATCCCGAGCACTTTGGTGTCGCTGTACCACGTGAGTTGACCTCTTCTAGAGTCTATACGGTATATATTCACGTTATATCGCAGCATATATATATATATATATATATATATAAATGTCTTTTAACGTTCCTCTAATCTGTCCCAAAATCTGATCAGCCCACCATCATTTCTTACAAACGTTTCCTGCCCTGTACTTGGACACCAATTTAAGGCTTAGCTTAACACATTTGCTTTTGTTAGCAGTCACTCAGGCAGCGTTGACTCAATGGTTAAGGCTCTGGGTTACTGATCAGAAGGTTGGGGGTTCAAGCTGCAGCACCACCAAGCTACTGTTGGGTCCTTGAGTAAGGTCCTTAACCCTATCTCCTCCAGGCTCATGGCTGACCCAGCAGAATTTCATTGTGCTGTAATGTATATGGGACAAATAACGTTTATTTATTTTTTTCTCCTACAACTCCTACAATGCCAAAAAGGGACCAGCGTTCTCCAACATTGAAGGCAATTCTCAGTCTGCACCAAACCACGACCACAGCTCGACTCATACCAGCACAACCTCAAGACACGCATCAAGACTCTTCTCTGCACTCGTACCAAGGTGGTGGAAGGTGAATGAACTTCCAAACTCTGAATCAAATGGCTACATCCAACGAAGACTCAACACCCTGCTCTTTACGGTTTTCGTCATTGTACCATTTCGTCTCTAACTCGACGGTATCCGTAGCCCCTGACCTGTTTGCACTAGCATGAGGATACGTTTGGATGAAGATGGGAAAAAAAAAAAAAAAAAAGCACTTCTGGATAAGCGCGTCTGCCAAATGCTGTAAGTGTCCTCATCAGTCTTGGAGGAGAACGCACGGTATGATCGCTACGCAAGGCTTGGATGTTAAATTTAAAAAAGGTGTAATACAGGGACCTCATCTTCGTTTCGGTGTCCTTGACCATCGAGTTCTGTTCTCCGTTACACACGGCACATCGCAAGATGAGAATCGAAGCTTTGCCGAGCCGAGCAGATTGCCGGAGGGGCCCAGGGAGTCGACACGGACTTCCTCCATCCACAAATCAATTGTTTCTCTAAACCTCACTCTGTTGTAAATGTTACAAATGATGTGTACATAAATCTGAGGGGTTTTTTTTTTTCCCCCTCCATAAGTCAATCCACACTGAGGAATCATAAGCCTGGATGGTTTACGTGTAAGGAAAAGTAGGCGAGAGAGAGAGAAGGGGCGAGAAAAAGGGAGACAGATAATCAAGGCCTCTCACAGCCAGGCTGTCAGTGTGGAGTGATGCGGAGAAAGCGAGGCCCGAGTTTTTTTTTCCCTGCCCTGGACCGACGCCATTCCCCTGCCTCCGGATGGTGCTTGGCTCTCACATGTTTTCCCTTCTGAAGGCTGCGAATGACAGCTCGCCATACTTCTGATCGCGTTCCAAAAAACTCTCTCCCAGTCACCGAACGGGGTGAGGGTCTGACAAACACGTTTATTTCATTTAGACGTTCGGAACGCCGAGCGCTAGGATCGGTTAGCTAGCCCAAGGCCGCGATTTAATATCAGTACAAGCTGGTCTCTGTACGTCAAGGTCAACGTCAAGCAACGGAAAAGTGTCTAAGTGACAAAGCTAAACAGCCATGGTGGGGTTGTTGGTGTTTATTCGGAGAGCAGTACAGTCACAGGTTATATTTTAGACTCGCACAATGACCTTGAACTGTTTAATGCGGAGACACAGATCCGACATCGAGCTAGA